CACCCGTTGAACTAATTGTTTGACTAAGTTTTGATAAATAATTTGTAATGACCCACCTCTTGCGCGATTGATTGTTTGATTTACTGACGAAACAAGTGCCAGAATGAAAGATTAATTTAATAAGGATGGATTGACTAACCGATTGGCTGACCGAGTAAATAAGTCGTATATTTAATAGTAAGTAGCAGAGTGAATGATTTCTCAAGTAAATGGTTAAATAATTGGTTAATTGATTATGTAAAGAAGTGTTTTAGTGACCAACTGTCCCAGTGATTGGCGAACGGACAAACTGACGAAATAAAAGGTTGATTGGTTGGCTGAGTGAATTATCAACTGATAGACCGGCTGATTTACCAATATTAAGCAATGGAATGGGTAATTAGTTATTAGAACATTTTAGCAACCAATTGCCCGAATGATTGCCTGTTTCATTAACTGACAAAATGATTGACAGAACGAAAGCTTGATTCAATTAGTGTGACTAAATGAAGGTTTGATTAAACGACCAGCTGGCCTATTGGTTGACCAAATAATGAAGTTATCAACCGACTTCCGTCTTACAGAAGGAAGCATTGATAAGCAGATTTAGTGATTGAGTAATTGAATGATTGTTTGATGACTAAGTAGACAATTTGTCAACTTAGACTAATTCGTTGAGTAAGTATTTATGGGGAATTTTTTATCGGCCAACTGCCCGAATGAATGATTGCTTGATTGATTAAGGATTTACTAACTTAGTCATTGCTTGTTTGAGTAATTGGCCGACCGACTGAATGAAGGATCAACCAGCGGCGATCGGTGATCTCTCAACCTACTGGCTGATTGAACGCATGTAGTCCTAATTGTTTGACTAATTATTTGTTGTGATTGCTATTGACTAAATGAGTGGTTGCCTTGTCAACTGACAACTGATTGGCATAAGATGAGATTGAGTAAATAATTGAATGATTGACTGACAAATTGTGTGAACTGATGGCGATACATTATTTGAAGATTTTTTTACTATCCGCCAGCCTGAATGATTGAATGTTTTGTCGAATGACTGACTTTCTCAGAGATTGATTGATTGAATGATTGACCAACTGACTAAATGGAGGTCTGATGTCTTCACACCGTCTGTATTTCTTTCTGCTTGGCCTGCATTTTAATCTGCCAAACAGCCTCAATTGGGCTTTTCAATTCCCTAAAGAGTTTGCTTGCTGTCCCTTTTCAGTGCACATTGAATGGAGAAAGCACATTGTTAGTGTGTCTGCTGGTCATGTTGTCTTCTCTGTTGAGGCATCTATTCTTTCTACAACAAGACTCTGCTGCCCCATTGCGAATCATCAAGTGGGACAAGTTGATGACAATGACAACTTACACTGCACAAACTGCTTTCAGTCATTCTGTCAAATGTAAAGACTAACGAATGGAGTATTCTGTCAGGCTCTACAGTTGAAGGGACAGTGGAAAAACTTGACAAAAGCCGTCTTTACTTGGCTCTTCCACGAGATTGGGAAATTATGGCCTCATATGCACAAGCAGAAGGACAATTGGTGCATTTGTATTGTGCAACTCTGTCACGTCCAAGTGCACATTTCCTTAAATGCATGTACAAACGGTTGGTCTTCCTACAAGACGGTTTGTTCATTCAATATTATTTTGTCCAATTCCAACGCAGAGTTGAAACACTTTTTTTTTGCTTCAGTTGAACAGACACTCGCCGACAAGTGCGGCCAGATCTTGTAGGTTGTAAAGTCTCTACTATGCTTGCCAACTCCTCGGTCAATTTCAATTGGGGGCCTGAGGTTTGCAAAAGTTTCTTCGAGCTTGTTCGGAAGTGGTTAATTAGAAGGATTTGCTCTTCGGCTCTACCACCCTTGAGCTGTTCGTCAACTGTGTTGGAACTCGTATTTCTAGACAGGTCTCTGCTGTATCGTGGCTTTGGGCACAACAGACACTGTAGACACAAGACTAGCCTGTGAAAGCCGAAGCAAAGTAATTAGCCCAACAGAAGTGGACAGAAGATTGTCCACATGCATGCGATTGCTGCTTGCGTCAAATTATTGTTAGTCGCTTGGAGACAAGTAGCTACTCGAACGTTTAGAAATGTCTAAAGAAAT